GCTTGTGCTCAGCTTCCAGCACATGAAGTATTCTGAATATATACCCCAGGCATAATAACTGCTTCCATATTTTCAAGGCAATTACAGGTTGTAAAGTTGCTCCCGCACACTTAATCCCCACAACCAACTACGAGGTAGAAAGGGCAGGTTTGTATACTCATTTTACAGATGAGAAAAACTGAGGCTTAAAAAGATCAAGACTGGGACACAAAATAGTGGAATAATCATATTGCTTCTATCCAAGAGGCACTTAATAGCGTGTAGCTATAGACTAAGGAGAGTCCTATTCAGAGGCTGCTTATGACTCCTACCGTGCCAAGTGCAGAGGAGGCCAAGACATTTCATTCCACCTTTAAAACATTTTTGATTGGTTTTAAAAGGGAGAAAGAAAAAAAAAATCAAGGCAGACATTTTAATTCTTATTGAAAATGAAGTGAAAAATAATGAGGCAAATGACAGGGAAAAAGAATATTCCTATAGAAGAAGGCCGACCTCAATTTCTTAGTGCTGAGTCAAGAGAGAAGCTAATTCCCCTATCCTACCATAACACACAAAGGAAACCTCAACTACAAGCTGTCACTTTATTACACAGTAGCCCTGACATCAGAGCTTCCTTTCCTAACTGCTAGAACCCATCACCTAACTCACAACAGAAACATTTACCAGGACTAAATGGAAAAGCAGAATCTTACCCCAAAATAATGTAGTTACAACGATCCAAAGGGTGTCAGAGAAGGCCTTTGGTATAAAAGCAATACCCAGGAATAGATAATTACTTTGAACTAAGAGGATGTAAGAGCAACAGTAAGGAAGGGAGGAGGAGGAATGTCTGTTGACATCAAAGTACTAGTAAAAAAAAAAAAAGCCTCCAGACAAGAAATGAGATGCTCTGATAAACTCTCAAAGTGTTACAATGTAATATAATTTTCAATAAAGCATTTGCCAATTTATAGCAACTGTTCTGAGGACTTGCTCTTACGACACTATTTGGCCCTTTTTAGGTTTCCTTGACCCTCTCCACCTTAAGAAATGCAGAGTTCTTCTAGCTCTGCTACAGCTTCCAGAGGTTATGAAATGAGGACCCTCCGCGAAAGCAAACAACCTGCACATGAGGCAGCACTTGGACTTCAGATAAGCTACAAAGAATTATTAACTACCTCTTTCTGCAGATATGCCTCTTTCTCTGTAACATTTTCAATCATTCAAAAGGCTACTGATAGAGGTACAGTAAATCCAAGTGCAGGTTTACTGTAATAGTTTTTTTAACAATGCCACATTCACCAATAATGGCATTACTTAGGATTGCACATTTATTACATCAAAAGATCTCAAAATGCCTACAGGACATTCTCCCACAGGAGAGAAGAGATCTGGCTCCTTAATAAAGGAAGAATATAGCAATGGCAGACAATAAGGAAAGTTCTGTCAACAGAAAGGACGTCTCAAAGCAATCAGAAAAACGCCCAAATTAGGTCTGAGGAGCCACTTCAACCACTATCTCAAATACTCATTTCCAGTTTAGCCTCAGGGTCCTCGGTATTTCCCCTCATATGCTAAACTGCAACTCTGGCTACACACAAATCTGAGAAATTCCAGCAAAGTAACCTCAACATTCCCTATTACAGTGCAAAATTCCAGACATTTGTAAACATTGTACATTTTACTTTTGGCATAACGGTGCTTGCAGGTTCCTTTATCTTTGAAGTGCAGATTCTAAACACAGCTAGTTCCACATCTACTGCCATTTTTAGCAAAAGTAGCATCAGTCTTGATAGTGTGCGCGCGCACATACACGCTCACGAATAGGAGAAGCATCAAAATGAATTTTTAAGGTATGGATCTGAACAATTTAAGCAGACAACCCGCTAAATGGAAAACAACGGATTCACAGTATCTAAAACCATGTACTTTTCAGAAGTTCACATAGCGCTGTGAGGTATGGATCTGAACAATTTAAGCAGACAACCCGCTAAATGGAAAACAACGGATTCACAGTGTCTAAAAACATGTACTTTTCAGAAGTTCACATAGCGCTGTGGGGAAAAAAAAAACCTAAGTAGCTGGTTAACAAGTTTCCTCCTTTCTAAAGAGAACTAAGAGGTAACATTACAAAAATATTTGTAGCTTTGTAGAACCTAAGAACATTCACCAATTTGTCATTAATGACTTTTCCAAGGCACCAACACTGCACTGAATAGGCATACACAAAAAATGTTACAATGAGACTGACCTTTAAAAATAAATTCTTATAAACTAACACTCCACAAGTATTTACATACATCTAAATATACATAAATTATAATTAAAACACGACTGCCTATTTCAAAGGCTTGGCAGTGACTCAATCTTGTATTACACAAGTTTGTGGCAGTTTGGAAGCTAGCCTGGCTAAACACCAATCCATTTTTCAAGCCTAAGATTGGAAACCTATGAAATGATAATACAATGGTAAAGTCTTGGTCTAAGATTTTTATAAAGACTCGTTTAAGTATTAAACATAAAAGCATACCAATTACTGTAAAGTACACTGAAAGGAGAGTGAGTTAATAGTGAGACAGGAGAACTTTTTAGCTATAACCTAGAAATTGTTTTTCTAATGATTTGTCATCTCTGCTCTGAACTTAATATGATCATATATTAATAAAAATGACAACTAAAATAAATTTTATGCTAATGTGGTACAATTTCATTATTCACAGGTCATGATGCAGCAGAAAAACTGAACTCCACTGACACCTACTTTAACAGATGCTTCCTTGCAATCAAAATTTCAATTCAAGCATGGCGCCTATAACTAATGTGACCATATAATTTAAAGTCCAAAGGAAGACATTTAAAAGGGAAAGGGAAAAGAAAAAAAAACTTAAAGGGGAGAGATGGAAACAAACCAGATATGATGCTGAGTAACAGGCAAGCCAGCACTGTAGTGCTGTATGTATGTAGCCAGCATATGGTCCTCACAACTACAAAAGGTGAATGGTAGTATTTGGAAATCAAGAGTTTCTCTACCTTACAGTGGTAAGCGCAAGACTTCACAAACTATGCCTTGCTTTAGTGGCAGTGAATAAAAAAAAATCTGTACTACAGTGGCAATGAAAAAAGAACAAAATCAAAACCAGATCAAGATAGTTTAAGGTTTGCTGCAGGTAAAGATGAGGTTTAGTTTAAACATATAGCTTAGGATCATCTAAACAAAGTTCTTAGTGCTACAGGGGGCAGTGAAAAACCCATGTTAGCAAACAGGAAAAGGAGAAAAGCTGAAGAGCACAAAAGGATTCCGTGCTGGGCAACAATGTACCAAATGAGTACCAAATATCTATGCATAAATAAAATGTTTAATTCTTTTTTAAGTTTTATTAAGAAACTGCAGGGAAAAAAAAACTGCAACTTTACGTAAGGGGATCACAGGGTAAAAGTGCAGATCCCCAATTCTCCCAGCCTCCAGTTTATCACTTGCAAAAGTACTTATGAAGGGCCGGCCCGGTGGCGCACTGGAGAGTGCACCGCTTGGGAGCGTGGTGGCGCTCCCGCCGAGGGTTCGGATCCCATGTGGTGACCAGTTCCCGTTCACTGGCTGAGCGTGGCGCAGGCGCAACACTGAGGGTTGCGATCCCGTTGCCGGTCCCCGGTGCGGGCACGACACCGAGGGTTGCGATCCCGGTACCGGTCAGTATAAGGGGACAAAAAAGGAAAAAAAAAAAAGTACTTATGAAATAAAAATAAAATTGAGGGCTAGCAAACTATTATGAAGAGACTATTATGGGGCGGGGGAATAAACAGGAAATTAACTTTCTAAAGTCTTAGAACACCTGCAATGGTCTAACAAAACATTTAACTCAAAGGACTGATACTGCTTAAAGAAGAAAAACTCGGCCCTAATACCTAGAGAACCAGAGACTTGAGCTTCCTTCCCCAGGAGGGAGCAATTCTGCAGAAAATGGCTCAGGGCTCTGTGCTACCTTTACTTGTCCTCACAGTGGCAGAGGTAATTTTGACTGAATTTTAAAATTTACAGGACTAACATTTACAGGGCCTTTCTCTTTTGGGAAAGTGTTAAAAGTCACTGTTCTCTCTAAAGTCCTATTTTGGCTGCAAATCATATTCTCTAAAACCATTTATTAGAAGATCTGCATTTTAAGGTTATTAGTTGTCTCAAATTCAACAAGCACCATTTAAAATATTTAACAAATAACGAGAAGGTAACATATTGTTTAAAGATTTACTAGTCAAGAGACTTGGATTCTAGTAATAACTCTAACACTAGCTGTGTCATTTAGCCTCACATGCAAAATAAGAGAGGTTGAGTACATGTTGAGTATATGAGCACATTTGAGTTTTTAAAATCTGTAATTTTGACAACCTTCCCCTCTAGAAACTAAATATAGTTATAAAGGGACCTTGTTCTGTCTTTCTGTTTGGTACCTAGAAAAGAGTAAGGAAAACCCCTTCCTTCTAGCACAGGGCTTCCAGAGAAAACCTGGTCTGCAGAAAATTGCATTAGAACTTCCAGAAACACTTGTTCAAATGCAAATCTCTGGCCCAGATTTCAGGGATCAGTCTCTGGCGGTTTGGGCATTTTTACCAGACAACCCAGGAGAGTCTTATGATCCTTAGGTTGACAATTCTAGGGAAGCAGACATGGATAGCCATAAGGAAACCAACTTAAAGATCTTCAATTTCTATATATATTTTTCTAAAGCTGATATGCTCTAATAAGGCCTCCTTAGATCTACCACTTCTCTTTAATTACTTCCATTTTCACAAATGCTGTACTCTCTATTCTCAAAAGAAAGGCTGCCCCTCACCCATCCAGAATCTTACTACAGGGCACTGCCTCAGGGTGTAACTACTCTAGAGGAACCAAAAGGACCAAAAAAACATGGACGACTCCCAAGAGACAACTGAGGACTGAGAGAGCTAAGCAGAGAGCTTTGGTTAAAAATTCCATGCCTTTTCTATTTATTTTAGAACTGATAATTGAGAAGGTTGCACCAGAGACATATCTTAATGCATTTATTTCAATTAAAACTAAGTCAGACATTTTCTGACTGAAAGTTAAATCTGATTTGGCTGATTAATTTTAAAATGAGGACAGGTGCTGGAAATAACATGCAAGGAAAAAAACAGGCTTTGCCAGTTTATGACAGGACCTTTTCTATAAATTTAATCAGCTACATCTAAAGCTCTAAGTTTTCGATAAAAATATCTTTAAAGCACATATGTAATATACAATATATTGGACAATATATCCTTTGTAAGTACTTAAATTTTAAAAATTTAGATGTCAAATTAAAGACGTGCAAAAGGAAAACCTAGGATGAGCCAAGAAACGGTTGAAGGACTGCCCGAAAAGGGGCACAAGGGCATATTGCGCAGTGGCAAACATTCCATAGCTTGTTTTGTTTGGTTACTCAGATTCTACAACTCATCAGAAGGGAACACATTATTATATGTTAATTACACCTCAGTTTCTAAAATGTGCAAAAAGCTACATATGCTTTTTCAAAATTATTTTATGGGTATGTTAGCAAAAATATTTGATAACCATTGTACTAGGCATACATGGAAGAAATCCTGTTTTTCAATACTTTTTCTTTTGGTTTCTCTGAACCATGCAGCCTGACTACAACATAAAGTGATGTACAGCACTTCAAAATTTTACTAATCAGATTATATTTTTTCTTGTTAGTTCTAAGATTTTTCTAATAGCTACCCTGGATTTTGATGTCTAAGAACATTCCCTAACAGTAGGGCAGGGAATAAATTTAACTAAAGAAAGGATTAATCTTCAAATAATTTGGTAAGTGAATGAATGAATGCATCCTTATGTTTGTACTGGCAGTTGTTCCCTTCCAGTCCCTCATCTCTAGAGGGAGAATGACGTAGACTTTTCATAATGGAGTCCCCAAATTGATCATCTAGTTCTAAAGAACTTGCTTTCAAATTCCATATAAGTTTAGAAGCAAAAATGTCCCAGAACACAAACATTTACATAAATAAATGAACACATGCAGTGGGTCATACTGAGTAGAGATGCTCAATACTGATGTTTTGATATATGACCTGGCCCTTTTAATATTTCTCTGCAATTCATTCATTTAACTATGCTATAAAAACCTTAATAACCAACTGAATCTCTTTCTTGCAAATAGGGCATGAAGCCCCAGCCTTCTTTAGTCTTCTGGCACAGTGAAAACAAGCAACAAGATGGCCTGTCCTCCCATGAATAATGTTCCCATCTCTCGGTCTTTTCTCACATATGCTACATGGCTTCAAGAGATTCTGGCAATCCTCCGTGTTTTCTGTATCTGTTCTCTGTTCAGAAAGGTGATCTGATTGCTCTCCCATGCTTAAGATGGTCTCTTGACTTTCAGAACTGTGAGCCAAATCCAAGAATTCCACTGAGTTACGAGGACCAAAAAGTTTGGAGTTTTCTTCCTTTATGTATATATCTTTAGGTCTAACAACTGGAGCTGAAATGGTTCTTCGGCAATCAGGGACATCAATTCCTTCATTTTCCTTCTTTTCAGGTATGGCAGTGATATCAGATGTAGAGAGAGAATGAGTTAACTTAGAACAATCAGAATACCAATCCTTCCTCAAGGCCCAGCAACGAAAACAGTACCTCTTGCTTGGAGAGTTAAACTTCTTGCACTCAGTACATTGCCACTCATCCTACAAAGACAAGTGCAACCAATTAATACTCACTCAATGATGAACAATGAAAAAAAAGGGAGGATAGAACAACTTCTCCTCATCTCACTAAGCTAGTGATAAGCCAGACATTCCACATCAGTGGTCTAGCCTAGGATTTTAACAAATTCTACAGCTACGTGGACAAAAGTCTTTCAAAGTTTTACACTGATGGTGCTACAACTGCCATTTTCAAGCCAAAATATATAGCTAACTTTAAAAAGTTAAAAACTTTGGCTTTCTATCCAGGCTGGGTGAAATTTACATTGTCTCCTCTTCCCCACTGCCTTCTTTTAGGTCGTCTTTTGCATAATTTACTCCTCTATTGGGCAAGAGGCTAAAGAATGAAGAAGAGATAATACTCTTTCCTACTAATTAATAAATGTTATAAAATTTGGCAAAAAGTAAGCTAAAACTAAAATGAGATTTGAAAACTACTAAACTTACTCGTGCTCTCTCTACTCTCAGGACCACAGGTAGCTATTTGTATGCCTAAATCACTCTCTCTGAAAAATGAATGTTCTTGTCCTTGAATGCTAAGTAATTTTTCCCCTACTTCTCCATATTCAAATTAGGAGACACTAGAGCTCAATAAATTTTAAATGTTTTGCCTAATTCCAAAGTAGCTACCTGGAACAGTATTCAATGTGGATAACTGCTTGGCTTTCACAAGATCAATGATTTGACACAGGCTGACTTGATTACTTTTAGGACTAAGGCCAAGCACTTTAAATTCAGAACTCATAATTCAATTGTCTAGACTGAGAGTCAGGGACACGACCATTTGTTAAACTGGGATGTTCTCCAGAGAGCCTCAAAACACTCTGACCAGCTTAAGATCCTCCATTCTCATCTGAAATGCTATACAAATACTCAAAGGAACTTCATAGAGATTTGGAATTCATAATTGATGGTGTGCCACAGTTTAATTGGCATCACTTTTTCTTTTTTAGTAGTACATAAAATAATAGAGCTTATTAAATTCAATGGCATCTTTGATTTGATGAAATAAGGTCTACTGGCTTAATAGGTTTTCTGGGGCCAAGAAGCCACAGAAGTCTGATTAGGATGGAAACATTTATCTCTTATTTGTATGATCATCAACTTCACTTACTGGACCAATATGTTCCGCTTTATTACTTAGCTATGCACAAATAACTTGCAATGAATTACTATCATGGTCAACAGTGGTGCAGTGGGAGTCAAGGGAGATCAACACCAGAGACACCTAATAAAGTTTCTATCCCCAACCAGCAAAATGTAAAATCTCCTTATCCTTCCGCCACGACTCTTTTTCCCACAGTGAGTCAGCTGCAAGAAGTACTAAAAGGAAAATGGGTAAATAACATGAACAGAGAAAATCAAGGTCTAGACCTGAGTTGTCTATTGGTGACAAATCCATACCTATTACCTAAGAACTTAATACCAAATCTTTTATAGCCCTCCATTAATATTAATCTGTGGAAATTAAGCCATTTCCCATTTGCTTCTTTTTAAGAAAGCAATGACAATATTATTTTTGTACTTGAAAAAATTTTTAGATGGCATATAGGTCTGTCTTTGGGATTACAGAGAGGTGCTTAACGGGGAAAAATAGTGCAGGGCTATTATGAATAACACTATGCCTCCACTGCATCATGTCTGAAGTTTTTTTTTTTAAGGCCTTTAAGAAACATTTAAAAAATTGTTTTTCAACAATTATGAAAAGATTAAAATAGCTGGTTACCACTTCTTGTTTTCAGTGATTTTAGAAAAAGCTTGTTGCACCTGGAAATACAGTAGCAGTTTTCAGGGAGGCTTATATCATGCTATTCATTCTTTAGGTCAATAATTTTTTTTAAATGTATTTATTTACTTATTGATTTATTGAGTTAATCTGTTCAAAGCACTGTTTTAGAACATCAGTAGCAGTTTTCAGGGAGGCTTATATCATGCTATTCATTCTTTAGGTCAATAATTTTTTTAAAATGTATTTATTTACTTATTGATTTATTGAGTTAATCTGTTCAAAGCACTGTTTTAGAACACATTCGCTGTCTTCAAGGAGCTAATTAAACAAAAAGTTCTCACATGGTGCTAAAACTCTTTGGAATACAATTTCTTTTAAAACCAATGTCCCGGGCCGGCCCCGTGGTGCGCTTGGGAGAGTGCGGGGCTGGGAGCGCAGCGATGCTCCCGCCGCGGGTTCGGATCCTATATAGGAATGGTCGGGTTCGGATCCTATATAGGAATGGTACAAAGGATATTACAAAGAAAACAGATAAAGAGATGCATAGGGCAAGGTATGGAAGAAAGGGTGTGGAGCTTTCATGCCCTCTCCAGGTGTGCCACCTTCTGGAAACCTCTGTATACTCAGCTATCTGGGAGCTCCCAAAGAGTTTTGATGACAAGGAAAAAGGCACACAGGAACATTTTTAGTCATCCTTTTTCAGGGTAGGGAGAGGATCAGATCAAATAACTTCCTTCCCTTCTCAAATTCCAATAAAAACCTCTAACAAGATGTAAAGAAACCAATATCTCTTAGCAATTAGGAAAGGTAGACAGAAACAGGGAAAACTGCATTCTTCAACACAAGGAACTGCTGGAATCATAACACCTGAGAAACAGTGTTAGGCTGCTGCTGTACGGCCAAGGCAGCATCTGAAGATGCAAAACAGCCTTTACCAGAGATTCATACCTCAGAGGTAACTTCTACGTCAGTATCATCACTTAATGACTTAGAATCCTCAAGGTCATCATTTTTTCCCACTTCAACCATCTGTGAAGGCAAAGACACCTCATTAGTAAAGTTTACCTATTTTATATCAGGCTGTTACCTGACAAATAACTTCCTTCCCTTCTCAAATTCCAATAAAAACCTCTAACAAGATGTAAAGAAACCAGTATCTCTTAGCAATTAGGAAAGGTAGACAGAAACAGGGAAAACTGCATTCTTCAACACAAGGAACTGCTGGAATCACAGCATCTGAAGATGCAAAACAGCCTTTACCAGAGATTCATACCTCAGAGGTAACTTCTACGTCAGTATCATCACTTAATGACTTAGAATCCTCAAGGTCATCACTTTTTCCCACTTCAACCATCTGTGAAGGCAAAGACACCTCATTAGTAAAGTTTACCTATTTTAGATCAGGCTGTTACCTGAAAAAAAAAAAAAAAGACAGTTTCAATTTAAAATTCCTATTCTGCTTCCATCACTAGCATTTAAAAGGAAGATAGCATAAATTTGAGACCAAAAACATGATTTTGCACACACCTCGCTGACATTTCAGTAGCACAAGTGATTGAAAAGGACCCAGAAGGGTTACCAAAGACCTTCTGCATTCAGAAGGGAGAAGGTGCCCAAATTTATGACTTTAAATAAATTGAGTAGAAAAGCTAAATTATTAAACATGGAAAATTTTTATCTTGGGAATGTAGGCACGTATGAAGAATGAAAACAAGTATTTTAAAATTTTACTTTCCACGTTTAAGAGTAGAACTAGTTAAGTGATACTGTGGCTATCCTATAAAAACATGCCCATAGACCAGGAAACAAAAAGTCAAGAAATGTGGGGAATGTCTTTTAAATTTTAAAATGTACTTGGGTGAGCACGTTGGGAATGTAGGCACGTATGAAGAATGAAAACAAGTATTTTAAAATTTTACTTTCCACGTTCAAGAGTAGAACTAGTTAAGTGATACTCTGGCTATCCTATAAAAACATGCCCATAGACCAGGAAACAAAAAGTCAAGAAATGTGGGGAATGTCTTTTAAATTTTAAAATGTACTTGGGTGAGCACGGTGCTGGTAACACCAAGGTCATGGGTTCAGATCCCCACACCAGCCAGCTGACAAAACAAAATTTAGAATTGAAAATTCTAAATATGAAAACCCTAGTTTTGTGGTCCAATAAAGGGAATAAAAACAATTATGAAACAATTATGAACGTGTGTATAGTAACCTCCTCATAAAAGTTCAAGAATTTTAAGGCAAATGTCAGGCCAGCTCGTGACTCACTTGGGAGAGTGTGGTGCTGATAACACCAAGGCCATGGGTTGGGATCCCTATATAAGAATGGCCGATTGGCTCACTTGGGAGAGTAAAGGGTTAAGATCTCCTTACTGGTCATCTTTAAAAAAAAAAAAAAAAAAGTTTCCAAATGTCACTTTTGTCTTCATTCTACCTGCCCACAGCAAACATACCAGGGCACCCTTCAGGAACCCAAATTCTTATGAAAATTTCTTAAATAAATAAATAAAGTAAGAAAGTAAAAAGGATGACTCAACTGAGGTCTGCTCTTTTGGGCTATATTTATTTAACAGATGTTTGCTGAGAATCTTCTATGCACTGGGCACTGGATCTGCTGCCCAATTTCTTTTAAGACTTAAACTCCTATTTGAACTCTAAAATAGGTAGAAAGAAATCATCTGTCCTTCTGTTTAGGTATAAAATGGTTATGGAAGCCATTGAGATTTCCAAGAAATAAGGATTTTTCTCATAGTACAGGCTGTTGAGACCACTCAGAACTTTGCGTTGTTAACGATGCAAGGTTTCTAGAGAAAAAACTTCACAATAAAAGACTAGATAAGCACGAAGAAAAAAAAAGGGTGGCTATTGCTTCAGACAAAATCGGAGCTTCACCATAAAACCCGAATATTTTAAAGGTAGCTTTGGTTAACTTAATGTGGACATTAAAATTGAATACAGGAAAATATTAAAAGTAAAAAGGGGGGATTATGTGAGTAATTTGTTATACGAAGAGATAAAAAGAGGCCTGAACAGATTATACTACGAGCAAATAAATACAATCAACACAAAATTTTTCCACAGCATACCTTTTTGTCACTTACTTTCCCTACTTCTTCACTTGTTTGTTCAGTATCAGCAGCTTCAACTTTTATTCCAACACCTAACTGCTCTGATACTGACTCATTCAAAAACCACAAGTCATCTGTAGTGTCTGAAACAACAGCAGTACCTATATCCTATTAGAAAAAAACAAACATGAGTTTCTGTGGTCAGAGATGCTGAACCAACACAAATGAACCCAAAACTCGACATCTTCACACTACATCTCCAAAGAACATCTCGCATTTCTTCAACAAACATGTATTCATTCAACAGACATCTACTTGGCACCTACTATGAATAACTAATAAATGAATAGAGGGGTGCCTGGCAAGGAATTTACTATTTTAACAGTAAATCAGGTATAACACCTGAGAAACAGTGTTAGGCTGTTTCTCAGAAACTGAAAGGCTTAAAAGGACTCATAGTTGCTCAACTAAATAGAATCCATTCTCTACATTCCTTTCCACAGGTGGCACTCTGAGATGCTAAAAAATATTCCACTAATTTTGACATATTTTTTCCTTTAATGTTCAATGATGCGTATTGAAAACATACAAGAAATCCTGATAGTATTTTGCCCAGACACTTTCTAAACTCAAACACCTTTAGATATACAGAAATTTCTTTCTTCATTAATCTACAGACTTTTTTTTTCACATGCTTGTCTACAACATTAATGAAACAATTTATTGTTTTGCCACTGATATATGCCCATTCATTTATGCAACAAATACACCCTAAATGCTTATGATGTGCCAGATACTATTCTAGGTACTAGGTAATGAAATGGAGTGAATAATACAAAAGCCCTGGCCTTACATTTCAGTGGGGGTAAACAGACAATAAATATATATACAAAATATAATATTTTTACAAAGTGAGACGTGTAATAGAGAATATAAACTAAGATAAAGGAGCAGAGTGACTGGGGAGGAGGCTATTTTAACTAGGAGTGGGTTGTGTAGGGCACTACTTATAACTGCAGAGCTCCAAAACAAAAACTAAATGGACCACAATGGAAATGTGCAACATGACAGTGTTGGTGGCCAGGGATGACCTCTCTGAGGAATTTACATTTGAACTGAGTCCTGAATCATGAGAAGGAAAACAAAAGGATTTGAGGGGAGAATATCCCAGAAAAAGAAAAAAACAAATTTAAGGTACCTGAGGAAGAAAGAAGTTTTGGGGTACAGGATCAGAAAGAAGCCTGGTGGGTCTGCAATACATGTAGTGAACAAGAATGAATGACAGCAGGTGAGACAGGAGGGGGAGGTATCAGTCACGGCTATAGTGAGGAGTCTAGATTTTATTTTACTTGTTTTCTAAAGCCACAGGAGAAATATAAATGTGGCGGTGATATGATATAACTTATCCATTAAAAAAATCTACTCTTTGAAAAGACTGAATTACCAGATAAAAAAGAAAAGAAACAAGTAGGCAGTTGTGTACGGTTGTTACAGTATCCAGATGAAAAACAATGGCTCAAATTACAGTATGACAGTAGAGGTGGTCAAAGGTTAATTAAGACTTCGGATATATTTTGGATAAAGAGCTGATAACCTGAAAGACATCATTATCTCCTTGATATTTGGCTGGAATAATTGTGTAGATGGTAGATTTGTGAAAAATGAAAGCCTGGGAAAGGAGTGTTTGGTTATTAAAAAAAAAAAAAATCAAGAGTTCTATTTTGAACAAGTTAAATGTCAGATCCTCTAAGTGGAAGTGTTAAGTAGGTAGGTGGATATGGAAGGTGGCTATTTAGGGAAGAGGTCAGAGCTAGAGATATAGATTTGGGAATCATATGCATACAGATGGTATTTAAAGTCATAGCAGTGAATAAGAATTCTTAGAGAATGCAATATGTGCTCTTGACCACATGTTACATTCTCTAAGAATTCTTACAACCAAGAATGTTACTATTTCTAAAGGGAAAAATGCTCCCCTTCAAACATAAAATTTACCTGATTTGTCTGTAAATCTGTTGAACCATTACTTCTGGGTGTATAGTTGTTTCTCAAGTTTCCTAAAAACCACCAAGGCAGGCCAGCTACATCCCATTCCTCAAACCCAAGATCCAGCCTAGATGTCTCATCTTGGGATAAATTTTCTATCAAGTCTTCATCTATAGAAGTCAAATGAAAAGGATAACTATGTACATGACACTTAAGAACCAAGACTCTCTTTAGAATACTTACAAACCTCTTTAGTTTTATAAAATAGGTAAAAAGTAATTCCTGTTCTCAGTAAGAAAGAACGAGAAATCAAGGATCTCTCTTAGTGGCAGAGCCCAAATCTCCCTCCCATTTAGGTTCCATTAACAAGAAATGACACTAAAAGTAGATGATCATTTATCAACAAATCTAAACTCTACAAACATCTGAATGAACAATGACATTGTTCTAAAAGAATTTCTAAGTGGCCATTTACTGGCATTTTAAATATAACTAACATTTTAATAACTAAAGAATGACTTGTTCTAGTACATAGTGCCTGATAATGGCTTATCTTCTGAACTGCAAATGGTGATAGCATATTAACCTAACCCTTGAGATTGAAGCGAGGCGGTACAGACCATAATAATCAATCACAAGGTTGTCAAGGCACTCTCATGGGTATCACATATTTTGGGACATTTCTCAAAAATTCATGTTTTGGTAGGTAACCACCATTATAAAACACTGAACTTTAGGTTGTCCAAGTAAATACATACATATGCCCTTTCTAAATCAATGTGCTCTTCTGGAGTTAAGAATCCAGAAATGCACAAATATTAAGGTCCCACATATTTTAAGTATAAGATTTCATGTTGTATATATGTGAATGACATTCAAGGCAGTTACATAAGTTTGTTGCTAACACACAAAATTCCTTTCTTTCTTTCCCATCCTCCTCCTGTCTTTTTTGTTGTGCTTTATTCTTTTCCTATCTTCTCACTCTCTTCTACCTCTTCCTAATGCACTAGGTCTGCAGATAGCAACCATGGATGTTTAAATGTGCTGTGGTACACATGGTTGAAAGAATTTTTGCAATAAATGCATCCCTGCCAGAACATAAGTTTACCCTATCTATTTACAAATTATATCAATCCTGCTTATTAAAAGGCCTATGTTCTGCCTATGGCCAGGGACACTTCACTTGCTTTTTTTTACATACTCACTGCTGAAATATTCAGAAACCAAATTTCTGAGATGGTGCCATATTAAAGTTATCCTCATCTATTCAAGCCCTACAACTTATTGTGAAGTGAACAGAAACAGGTCATTCTTTCCACAAATAGAAATTCTGTCCTTTCTACCTATAGACCTTCTTGAAAAACTAAACAATTTATTTCCAAAATTTCCATCACAAACTACATATGGACTCTTAAATTGGCTGTTACTATCTTTTAAACATCTTTATGATTAGAAAATAAAAATCTGCATTTAAAGAAACAAAATTACACATTTAATATCATACAGACTGGAACAGTTCTGAGGTAGCTAGGTAGTCCAAAATTCAGTTTATGTTCAAAAGCAATTAGAAGAAAACATAACAAAATGATAAAATTATTCAAATTTAATTTAAACATTTAAAACAACTTGAGCAGTATAACTTTCTGAGACATAGCTAGAGGCCTAACCTGCCACTGATCCAAGTGTGAGCCAGGTACCTAGACTACAAACCATCATGCCGTAAAATACCTTTGGGCAATTTATGATTTTGTACATCTTCGCAAAAAACAAGCAACAAAAATATATGATTTTAGAAGACATTTTATAAAATCGAGTTTGGGAGAAACTTCCAAAATATCGGTTTTAATTCATTTAGCCTGACCATGCCATACCTAATAGAATGGCAAAGATCTCGTGACTACCATCCAAAGGGCAAAGAAACTACTAGGCTTTTTATATCTCATTCTTGGCTCTGTGATACTAAGTATATTTTGTCATCTTTGCAAACTTTAAAATCTATGAAAATTAGCCTTTATAACAAGCAGACAAACAAAAATAAAAATTCTAACAAAATATATACAGGGGTACCAAGATTAAAAAGGCCAAGCAGCCGAATTCATATATATAAAAAATTCAGCAGGTGGCAAACTGATAAATATATAGCTATCTTTTCTAATGGAAGGGTCTGAACCATCCCAGTAATCATGGGTTGCTAAAAGAGCACTACCACATCTTCTTTAAAGTTAACAATGGTGACTAGATTGAAAACAGGCTTTCAGAAATGAATGAGAAATAAATATGACATATTCCCCTCCTACTTCACATGCAAAGAGACAGCATTATTATTTTCTGAATTCTCTATATAAAAGCTTCTATTATAGTCTTAATTACAGCTGGTGCTTAATATGGATAGATACCATTTCTAGAGATCAACAGGAAGAGAGAGAAATCAATCAATCAATCAATCAATCCACATAGCCCTCATCCAAAACTTACCTTCTCTAAAATTTCTGCATTTATGCTGTGAGGTAGGCAGTGTGGGAATATCACCTTCTTCGGTTCTTTTCCTGGAACTGGAACTTTCTTCTGCACTTTGCTGAAAGAAGGGAAAAGTGCCTATCAGTGCAATAGAAATAACTGAGACCAGGGGATGTAGCAGTTCCATTCTGGCTCGCCAGTCAGTGTGCAACACAACGGGTTACACACAAGAAAGAAAACTCTGGAATTCACAGCAGTCATCAAGTAAAGACAACACTTCTCAACCCACTCTGAGCAGAGCTAGGAGAATCCCAAACCTGGGGGGGAAAAAACCTCTGCACAAGGCCACCTACTGTTAAAAACAAGCTATCATATAAAGCCTCTAACCTACTACAAAATTAGGCATAATTCAGAAAACATGTGAAGCCCTCACCATGTACCAAGATGATCATAAAGTTTCCCCAGGTTTGGGGAGGCTTTAGGAAATGACCTCACATGAACTTAACTGCAACAAGCTTGTTAAAGTCTAATAAAGCACTTCCACACTTCACTTGCTTTTTTTTACATACTCACTGCTGAAATATTCAGAAACCAAATTTCTGAGATGGTGCCATATTAAAGTTATCCTCATCTATTCAAGCCCTACAACTTATTGTGAAGTGAACAGAAACAGGTCATTCTTTCCACAAATAGAAATTCTGTCCTTTCTACCTATAGACCTTCTTGAAAAACTAAACAATTTATTTCCAAAATTTCCATCACAAACTACATATGGACTCTTAAATTGGCTGTTACTATCTTTTAAACATCTTTATGATTAGAAAATAAAAATCTGCATTTAAAGAAACAAAATTACACATTTAATATCATACAGACTGGAACAGTTCTGAGGTAGCTAGGTAGTCCAAAATTCAGTTTATGTTCAAAAGCAATTAGAAGAAAACATAACAAAATGATAAAATTATTCAAATTTAATTTAAACATTTAAAACAACTTGAGCAGTATAACTTTCTGAGACATAGCTAGAGGCCTAACCTGCCACTGATCCAAGTGTGAGCCAGGTACCTAGACTACAAACCATCATGCCGTAAAATACCTTTGGGCAATTTATGATTTTGTACATCTTCGCAAAAAACAAGCAACAAAAATATATGATTTTAGAAGACATTTTATAAAATCGAGTTTGGGAGAAACTTCCAAAATATCGGTTTTAATTCATTTAGCCTGACCATGCCATACCTAATAGAATGGCAAAGATCTCGTGACTACCATCCAAAGGGCAAAGAAACTACTAGGCTTTTTATATCTCATTCTTGGCTCTGTGATACTAAGTATATTTTGTCATCTTTGCAAACTTTAAAATCTATGAAAATTAGCCTTTATAACAAGCAGACAAACAAAAATAAAAATTCTAACAAAATATATACAGGGGTACCAAGATTAAAAAGGCCAAGCAGCCGAATTCATATATATAAAAAATTCAGCAGGTGGCAAACTGATAAATATATAGCTATCTTTTCTAATGGAAGGGTCTGAACCATCCCAGTAATCATGGGTTGCTAAAAGAGCACTACCACATCTTCTTTAAAGTTAACAATGGTGACTAGATTGAAAACAGGCTTTCAGAAATGAATGAGAAATAAATATGACATATTCCCCTCCTACTTCACATGCAAAGAGACAGCATTATTATTTTCTGAATTCTCTATATAAAAGCTTCTATTATAGTCTTAATTACAGCTGGTGCTTAATATGGATAGATACCATTTCTAGAGATCAACAGGAAGAGAGAGAAATCAATCAATCAATCAATCAATCAATCCACATAGCCCTCATCCAAAACTTACCTTCTCTAAAATTTCTGCATTTATGCTGTGAGGTAGGCAGTGTGGGAATATCACCTTCTTCGGTTCTTTTCCTGGAACTGGAACTTTCTTCTGCACTTTGCTGAAAGAAGGGAAAAGTGCCTATCAGTGCAATAGAAATAACTGAGACCAGGGGATGTAGCAGTTCCATTCTGGCTCGCCAGTCAGTGTGCAACACAACGGGTTACACACAAGAAAGAAAACTCTGGAATTCACAGCAGTCATCAAGTAAAGACAACACTTCTCAACCCACTCTGAGCAGAGCTAGGAGAATCCCAAACCTGGGGGGGAAAAAAACCTCTGCACAAGGCCACCTACTGTTAAAAACAAGCTATCATATAAAGCCTCTAACCTACTACCCGCCCGAGGGTTCGGATCCCACATACAGACCGGTTCCCGCTCACTGGCTGAGCGAGGCGCGGGAGCAACACCGAGGGTTGCAATCCCGTTGCCGGTCCCCGGTCCGGTACGGGGACAACACTGAGGGTTGCGATCCGTTGCCGGACACGGAAAAAAGACAAAAGACAAAAAAAAAACACCTCAGTTTCTTCATCTCCAGACACTCCTCACAGGGTTGCTGTGAGGATCAGTCGAAATGCTCATTATATAATGAGCATTTATTTACAATATATGACAATTATACAGTATTTCTTTACAATATATGACATGTTAAAAATACTGCAGAAAAAGTACTAGAAAGAAAATGAGAGGAAAAAATGTGAGAATTAGATCCACTCTAGATATCCACAGAATAGATCAGTCAGAAAACAAATTCTGAAAGATTACCTCAACAATTATAAAATCCTCCACGTACTGCAAGCCTTTAGTGACTTATCCCAGGAAAGCCACACTATTTCACAATTGAATGGATTTCAATAAAGTGGCGTATTATTTACAAGGCCTTCCCTCTCAAACAAATGTACAGCTACACGAAATGGGTGAAGTAGGCAAAAGGCTCAACAAAACCAACAGGTCTCAAAATTTAATGTGAATTCAAAATCATGTCTTAATATGAGAGCAAATACTCTTTCCTTGACTTTATAGCATGAATCTTTATTAAAAATGGACTCTTCTCAACCTATTTATTTCAGTAAACTGTCAAAAGATAGCTAATCTAAAGCGATTACGAACTGGAGCTTTCTTCAAAGGAGAATGTTACTTAAAATCTAATTTGAAGTTCACAAAAGGACTTCATGTTGGAGTGGAAGACAAAAAATTTCATTATTTGGAAATGAGAGAGAGGATTACATTTCAGTTGTACCCAGTTTATTCACCTTTCTCTAACACACAACCACTTTGGACACTTACACAAAGCAACCAGTTTCCTGCACAGACCTTCTAAATTAAACTCAAAGAGGAGTGTACATAAGGTCTGGAATCAAGCAAAGCGTTAGACAGATTGGCATTCAGATAACAGCTCAAATCATTAGGTAAAAGGTTCTTGGGGAACCTTTAAAACAGATGGATTTGACTGACACCACGTGGGCTCTCAGAATCTTAACACAACTGAAAGAGGGACAGGCAGACCTTACATGACTGACGTGATGAAAGAGAAGTACAAAGCACCATCTATGAAGCTTTCTTGGCAAAAAATTTAAACTTGAATCTGTTCAAGCATTACTAGTTTACCAAAAAAGGGAGGATAAAGAAACACGTTAAACAACATCACAATTCTGAGGACATATCAGGTTGAAGAAAAAAAATCATAAGGATACAATCTGCCAACGCTAGAATGACCCATTTCTTCAACAAATAAATCACATGAAAACAAAAGGAAGGTTAAGTTTTACAGGTTAAAGACACTTCTGAGACATATCAAGCAAATGCATGTATGTGGACTTTGGATCCTGATTCAAACAAGCCAAAAAGAAATATTTTTGAGATAACTGGGGGAAACAATACATAAACCAGCTCTTAGACAGGATTATGGAATTATTATTAATTTTCTTTGTTATTAATTTTGTTGAGTGTAATAATGGTATTGCAGTTATATATGAAGGAAAAAAGTATTTCTAGATAAAGCAAATATGACAAAATGTTAACGGTTACTATGTCTAGGAAGTGGACATCTCTCTATTCTCAGTATGTTTGAAATTTTTCACAATGAAAAGTTAAAAAACATAGTAATAACATTCTGTATGACAGGCAGTATATAGCCCTCCCAGTCATGCCAAAGACAGCATCCATTTCCATCTTGATCCTCCTTTCTTTCCCATCATTTGCCCCCTTGACCCCAAAAAACTGTTATACAAACTGAAAAAAATATGATGTGACATACCTGTGGTAGCAGTGGCTAGAGTGACAAGATTCTTTCTTAGCATATCATAGAGAGGGCTGTTAAAGAGAGAAAATAAAAAATTAACGCCAAATGCCGCTCTGAAGATATCAGTTTTTATTAAATATTAAATATCTTTTCTGATATGTTATCTCCCAACTTTCTCTATCAGGTATACGAAGGCAGAATCTTTTTCACAGAATAGATTTTTTAAAAATTATTTAAATATTAAGATGTTAATGCCCAGGCCCTTGTGTTAATCTGCCCCTATTAAAAAAACTGATTACATTGCATTTCATTAGCTAAAGTAACCCAAGAGGGTAGATTTCCTTTGGAAACTATTCCTTCCTTCTAGGAGTTAAGTTTTACACTTTAACTGGAGACTGGAAGTGGAGAGGAGTCTTAACAATGAAAGACAAAATAGCTCAGAAGAAGCAGTCACCACAAAGCTGTAGAGAGAACACTGGCTCCTAGATTATTAATTAGCTTTTGGCTGTATAAGCTAAAAACCATCCATATACCCCCTATAACAGGAGAAAATCACACAACAGGTCAGATTAACTCTACTGTCATTCTTACTAGGCTCATCATCAACCCCAAACTGCCCAGTAATTCTACATTTCTCTCATCAGCTCACTCTTCCCCTCTTCCAACAATTTCACAAAATTCTAACCTAGCCACATCAAGCTCCCTCCTACCCTGGCCTTTACAATGATGTTCAATCTGCCTCAAGCAACTAACCCCTTCTAATCAATCCTTTAATTCTCCTTCAGCTCTCAGTTCAAATTTTACCTCTTCAAGGAACCTTTCCTTTACCCCTAACATTCTAAATTCCACGAACTCCATTTCATGTACCTCTTTTCTCTACAGCACTTACCATAGTGTAGTTTTACCATGTACTGGTATGATAATTTTATTAAGATGGAGGAAGAGCATCTACTGTTTCACTACAGTGTAAGCTCCATAAAATCGAAGCCTGTCTATGTTGTTCACTATTGTATTCTCAGTGCCTCATAGGCTATCTAACATATACTGCCCTTAAATATTTGTTGACTAAGGGAATAAATAGCCATTAATAACCTATGGAGATTAAGTGGCTAGGTATAAGCACTCAAAAAGATATACAAATCCTCACTCTTTTTACCTTGGATCTTTCACGGAGAAGCTCTGACGTCCTAGTAGTTCTCCCAAAAGATCGCCACCACAATATACCATATGCTGCTCCTGCTGATCATAAAGCTGCTTCACCATTATATACTGGCCTAGATAGTGCATGACCTGCATCACAATAAAAAAACAATGCAGTCTGTCCAGCTGCTGCCAAAAACACAAATTAATTACAAGGAAATCTGGTAAGGTGGTTTGTTAGAGAAAAAGATATTTACAAGAA